AATCTCCAACTATTCAAATGTAATGTCAATCGCCGTCTCCAGATGCCCTGATCTATCCCCTATCTTTCTCTTCATTCTTTCCTCTATCACTCCTATTTGCTCTAGCTCCAACTCTCTGTAATCCCTTGCGTGCTAGTGGCTTCCCGTCTTGCTTGGGGTGAAACACTTAAAAAAAAAAATTAAAAAAAAATATTCAGTAGCCATGACGTCACGGCACAACTAATCTTTCACTGCTTGTCTGTAAATTGCACCAAATTGTCTTCGTGTGGTCTTTTATTGATTCTACCCCATCAATAAGCCATCAGTCAAGTTGTCTTCTTCCAAATGTTATTGTTTTGAATTATATGTACATTTTTACTTTACCATTCAAAATTTATCATTTTTTTAATGCTATATCCCTTCAGGACGTAGATGATAACGGCTCTCCACAGATTCCTTTTACTTTATCATCTGTGAATGGCATGGCATCTTGGGAAAAACAGAGAACTTTCCTTTTGCATTCTCCACGGTTTTAAATTTAGAGTTATCCTTCTCCTAAACTGGCTGTCACCCAAGGCTAGAGATGCCAGTTTACCTTGCTATTTAACCCATAGCTTGGGCACCTCGAGGCAGTGTAATGGTTAGCAAGCTTGTCTTGCTAGAACAATTATGATTGAGTAGTGAGTTCGATCCTCACTTGGTGTCCCATACTTTCGTTCTTGTGCCACATCTAAGCTACGCTTGGAAAATCAATATAACCCATAGCCTTTTTCCGCAAAGTGACCGCAACAGATTAGGCCGGAATTTGAACACGACACGTTGGTTCCACTTTTCCCGCTGATAACCGTTACTTTGCTCACACGTCAATCTCGTTGACCCGCTTTTATTTTTTAGAATTCAAAAAAGAAATGTGGCGTTTTAATTTAAACCATTAAAATCGCTTCCCTTCTTCGACATTCGTCGGGAAAGGAAGATCTATTTTTTATTGAATCTTTATTCCATCGGAGGAGAATTATGAGGAAAAGATTAGGAAAGGAAGAGAAAATACGAATGAGATTAAAACGATTAAGGAGAGATGTCGAGATTTGTGAGAAGCCATGACAGAAACAAACAAAAGAATTGATGGAAATGACTGGGAATGTGGGACAATTTTATTTCCAAATGATAAACGCAATCATTTTCAAATAACACAGAAAAATAATTTAATGAGAATAAAATTTCATTTCTAAATAATAAACTATGAGGAATTTAATTAATTTCTAATTGAATTAACTAATTAGAAGAATGATTATTCTATTAAAATCTGACATCATATCAGAAGTGTCTAGAGATCAAGTGACAGCAAGACACTCCAATGTATTTTCGATTTCTTTATTATTATGATTTATTATCATAATTATTATTAATAATAATTTACCCGTACAGCCCAAAATTAATTTCCCGACATTGTGTTTATAAAATATCAGACATTTTGTTTTCAATTTTCTTGTTTGTGAAGTTATTATTCATTTTTTAATATCATGCTTTATTTATTATTTATTTATATATTAATATTTATTTATTTATTAACATTTATACTATTTACATGTGAACTTTTTTCCACATGTTTGTTGTCACACTTTTTCAGTTGCTCTATCCATTGCCCTTCATCAAATGTATATCGATCCGGGTAACATACAGAGAAATACAAACGTAACCGTTTATTTCATCTGGGGTGGGGGCTACACTAAGGCTGGACACTAAGAGTGGACACTAAGGGAGGACACTGTTTTCGTATGGTTCGTATCTCGTCTAATTCTTAATTTTAGTACTGCTCAGTTATTGCTCGCCCTATTTCCAATGAGTTCAAGTGAGTGTAAGTCTTCAACAGCAGCAGCAAAAGATAAAATATTCTCTGAGTGCAGTCAAGTACCAGCAGCTGCCCGGTCCATGGATTGAACTCACAAATACCATATCACTAAATTCACGAAAAAACACTTTAATCGACTAGGACAATTCTCGATGGAGAACTTGGAGCTTGAAACCTAACCTACCTGCTTGACAGCATTCACAGAAGTTATTCTCTTTTGTTACAAGGAGATCCTCATAGAAAAAACCTAGGCGCTCATTTTTTTTTCAGACGTCAAACTCTCCAATGTTCTTTTTTGTTCAGTATTTTCAATTCATTTCACAGAGATTGATGTCTACCCTTTTCCCTCGAGAGATGCTCAGCCATTCCTGATTTCATTGTCTTACCACTCATTACGGGTTTTCGTGGTTCTTCCAACTCTATTTTTAGAGGGCGCTATTTATGCTTTTTTTTGTTTTTTTTTTTTTATCCGGGGTTGTAAACATTGGACGATCCCTTTCTTCAAACTTTATGGATAGTGAGCATTGAAGTTGAGGTATTATCCGGTGATGGTTGGTTTGTGACATGCGGATGTCTTAAACCCATTCTCTAGTGATGCCAGCCGATCATTATTTTCTTCTTCCATTGTGAACAGGATCGAACATCTTTGTGAGAAAGATCTGTACAAATACTGCTGGACTATAGTCCAGCAGTATTTGTACAGATCCCTGGTTCACCCAGAGTATGAAGGTATCATCCATGTGTCTCAGCCATAATGTTGGCTTTAGTGGTGCTGTTTCAAAAGCCATTTTATCGAAGTATTTCATGTATATATTCGCCATTGCTGGTGACAATGGTGAACTCATGGCCGAGCTTTCGTCCTGTTGATAAATGTCAGACTCTAGTTGGTATAATTTTGTCTGTACATAGAAGGTTAACATTTCCATATGATTATCAATTGGAATGTTAATATATTCTCCCAGGGAGAATGCTGATTCCAATCGGTTTTGAACTACTGTCAGAGCTTCATCTATAGGAACTCTGGAGAACAGGGTCACCACATCCAAGCTTAAAATTCGATTGCTCCGGATAGGAGCCACTCGGATCAATTTCACAAAATGTTCTTAGTTTCTAAAATAGGATTAATTATTGAGAGTTTTTTTTTTCAATTCTTAACGCTTCCATTATGTTTTTTACCTTTTTCTGCATGTGGATAAGTGTATAAACACGAACATATTACACTATATATGTAATGTAGATTAGATAGATAAGTGTTGTATCCCAGGTTGTTGGGGTGAGCAAAAACGAATGAAGATAAAAGACAATTGTATTTTAAAACATAATAAAATACCTTTTATTCATTTACTGCCTGAGAACAGCAAAGATTTCTCTGAATTTAAACCATGAGTTCCATGTGTGTGTCAGCTTATCACCATGTTGAATTCAGAAGTGCCAGCTCCGACTAGCGGACAAAGGAAGTTATAGTTTTTTATAGGGGGAAGTAACACCTAACAGATAGATAGATAGATAGATAGATAGATAGATAGATAGATAGATAGATTGCAGACATGTGAATCAGCACTACATTGTGGATGTCAGCTACAGATCTTGACCAAGAAAATGAGTTCAAACGTAAAATTGGATCACCGTGCAGTGTTGATTCCCATGTCCGCACTGTCTATATCTAACAAACGCTCTACATCTGATAGTGAGCAATTTTCCCTTATAAATATAGCAAATTTTCAACCATATGTAATATATAAACAAATAATTATTTAATTGAAATTATATTTCAATTAAAGCAAAGAAGAATCTGCAATGTTATTGGCCCTGACCTGGCATTTCGGTTTTAGTCCCTTTTCCATCGCTGTAAAGTAGTTTACATGTGTCTTTTCTATAAATACTTCTATGGTAATTGTTCTGATGAAATCTCTTCTATAGAACCAAGACTTTATGAAATTAAGTGCAGTACTAGATTGGCGGCAAGTTCTTATCATTTTACAATTGAAATGGCTAGACGTAACCGTAAGTTCTATGCTAACAGTTTCTTCTATCTCATTTCTTGCTTTTGGAATCCTCTTCCGGTTTCTTGCTTCTCAGTCAACTTTGATCTTCAAAAATATAAATGCAATGTCAATCGTTTTCTTCTGTCTTCTTAATTCTTCTTTGATTGTCGCCTATAATAGTTTTTCTCATATTCTCTAACACTCAATAAGCTCTTGCATACTAGCGGCTTTTTAACACGTAGATTATTATTATTATTAGTAGTAGTAGTAGTAGTAGTAGTGGCAGTTGCAGCATTTGGCATCTCTATCACAGCTGTTAATGGTTGTTGTCACTGGAAAGCAATAAAAGCAAATCTCCACAACAATTCGTCATCAACAATCAGTAGAATGACATTACCAAAAATGTGTCATTTTTTTTAATTAAGCAAGTGGCGACTGCATTGTAATCAGAGTCTGTTGATATTGGACTTACAAAACTTATAATATTACTATTTGTGGCACTTGTATCTACAAATCAAAACCATCCAGTGGTCATTGATGGAGACAACAAGTCTACAACAATCCCCTCAAATATATCAATCCGTACATCAAGAAAAAGAAAAGATAAATCTGGCTGTGATGCAATACTTCCTCTCATTCTTCTAATCTTTTTGCCATCGTCTTTGGGAATCTTTCCATTTGTTTCCAATTGGGAAGTAAAACATTACTATGTATAACAGATTAGTATGCAAACTGCCATCAATTTTATGTTTCGCAATGTTTGCACCCTTTGTCTTTCTGGATGCGATCGATTAAAAAGTCTACAAAAATTCTTTTCATTTCTTTCGATCAAGAAATTTCTGCTCATCCGGCCTAAAATATTCAAAAGGATTTCATGTTTCCTATTTTTTTTACATAGCTTCGGATTTGCGCCCAAGCGATTGACTGCTGTTTTTTATGGTTTATCAACCTCTAACAGGTTATTTAAAGCCGAAAAATATTATTGGACACTAAGAATTTTCTTTTCAGATAAAAATGATTTTCTGATACATGCCCTATGTTTAACTCATAACTGGAGAGAGAAGACGTGAAGTCATAACTTTCCCAAAGGTATTTGCATGACTATAATGAACCCGACTGGAATTCGAACTTGGCTCACTGAATTCTTATTCCGAGCCGTTATCCATTACACAACCCGCACATCCAAGCTTACAGCACCGGGTATTCGCAATGGTCTCCCATCTAGGTACTGACCAGGCTCGACGTTGCTTAACTTCGGTGATCGGACGAGAACCAGTGTTTCAATGTGATATGTCCATAAGCCATTTGCTTGTGTGGTCAAAATCTAAAACGTTTGCACGATTTGCAATGATACACCGTTCCTACCCAAACGTGTTTATTTTTACTCTTTCCTTGTATGATAGGCAGTTTCATTTTTGTTTCGATATACCGCAGCAGAATTTTGCATGTTTGGTCTTTACTTCGTTTTAATACAATTATACTTGCCTTTTTGAATTATTATTATTATTATTATTATTATTGTTGTTGTTGTTGTTGTTGTTGTTGTTATTGTTACTAATATTTGCGATTAAAATTTATATACATTATTTTCTATCTTAAGATGTACTAAAGTGTATAGAAATGACATTCATATTTTGCTATCGAAATTAATCTCCATAATAATAGCCACAAATTATTGATGAATAGAAATTCGAAATAATAGATAAAACCTTGAACATTTCCATAAATTAAGAAGCAAAAGGAAAGTGTGCAAATATGAGGTTCAAATTTGGGAAGAAGTGAAACTATTTTGATCCCAAAAGAACGCAATTAAAGGAAAAGTAGAATTATCTCCCTTGAGAATAATTCTATTTTAAGTTAACCCAAAATAATTCTTGGCCTCTTGTAACTGTTAAACTGGTACGATTTTCTGAAACTTTAGTTTACAATTTATTTCTTTTGTTTCTCCGTTTAAGTGAAAAATAAAAACGCTTTCTTTTTCACATTGTTTCCCAGATACTTCACGATAGAAAAAGAAAGAGAATCAATTGATGGCGAAAAGAATCATTGTTGCCATTTTCAAATTGTCACTCGTATATTACCAGAGTTAAATGGAAACTCCAATCTATAGCAGGCATTTTATTTTTGAAATTATTTCTCAATGACAAACAAGCGTTTAATATTTTTCAATTTTTAGTTCAGTTTTATCAGATGTCACTGAAGAAGGAAAAGAGAATGAAACATTACATGGTAAACTTATTAATCCTCAACGTGATCGCCATGTTGTCGTCGAGAGCACATATACTCGTTCAAATTCAAATTCAAGTTTAAATTGATAGGCCAGAAATTGAGGAATGGTTTATAAAGGAAAGTTTTTTTTAAGTAGAAATTCATTCAGGATGGTAAAGACTTAGCATCAAGTATGAAGAATATTCAGCAGATACAAAAACTGTGGTGCCGCAATTCTGTACATTTGACTTCAGAAATATATCAATAAATTTAAGAGGTTGCAATTTTCTCTACTCACTCGTGCATTCCAAGATAAAAAATAATAATCACTAGATCTGTGACAGGCATTGATTGTCACAAGATCCTGTGAATTTGTTAGTGAATTTATAAACCCTTAAACAGATACTGTAAATAAAACTGTTGTCGGTAATTTAATATTGCTATTTTCGTGGAAAATCAAAACAACTGCGTGTGTCTGTCTGTAGTGTGTGTGTCTGTCTGTAGTGTGTGTGTCTGTCTGTAGTGTGTGTGTGTGTGTGTGTTCATCTCACGTCCAAAATTCCACTACAGGTCGTTTCGATCGAAGCTGAGATATTTCACCGTTTGATAAGTCAGGGGCAATATCGTTTCGATCTCCAAATTGAATCAACCAATAAGAACATCTCCACTGACCCTAACCCGACCAAAGGGTCAATGGTCAAAGTTTTGGTCACGGTGAAATAATACAAATACCGCCGACTACCAGGAATATAATTTTTAACTGATTACAACCCAATAATTGCTATCATTCTTGTTTAATTTTCGTTTGTGAGTCATCCATATTTAAGGCATGATCTTGGCTGGTTCTTTGAACCTAACTCAACCTATACATTTTTTTTAAGCATTACGCCCCGAGCAAGGCGTGAAGCCGCTAGGATGCGGGGGGTTGCAGAAGATTTGGAGCGAGAGCAGATAGGAGTGATAGAAGAAAAGATGAGGAGAAGGATAGTGGGTAGATCAAGGTAACTGGAGATGTCGATTGACATTGAGTATATAATTAAAAAGAAAATATTTCTGCAAAAAGACGTGAAGTGATATAATTCTAATTAGAAATTAGAAAAATGCCAAAATCGAATTCGTCATTCATTTAAGTAATTACTGTATTTCACTTCAATATTTCATTGAAAATATATTAATTATGAATTGATAATAAATTATAAATTTATTCAATTAGATTTTCTACTTTATATCATTTCTATAATCATTCAATATAACTCAGATTAACACATATAATAAACATTCCAATTTAAATGTTAAATTTATTATTTAAACTTTGTCGATTATTTCAATTTTCATTTCTATACTTATGTATGTAATTAATTCTGGTTGTAATCTACAAATTATTCACAAAAATTCATTGCATTCTCCAAGATCGATATGTTTGCTACTTAGAAATTTCACAGACTTTGGTAAGAAAATCGAGGCATTATACTTCTTACAGAATAATGGTAATTCAGTGCCGTCGGTTGATTTCCAAATCCGTTGTCTTGGGAAAATGTTATCTTTATAGGTGTCTGCCTTATTATATCAAATGAAACAAATTTATTGACTATATACGACTATCTCTCTCTCTCTCTCTCTCTCTCTCTATATATATATATATATATATATATATATATATATATATTGCTCCTGAAAAAATTATTTCGGTTTAGCTCTCTGGGAAAAATGTGAGTTTGTAAACAGTGACTATTACTGTTACTAATGCAATACTCTTCGATAAAATGAATTGAGTTCTCTCAGTCACTGGCGTGTTTATCTAAAAATGAATACGCTTAAATTCACCTTAATCCCTGCCGTGCGCCAACGGCTTAGGGGGCAGATTCTCAGAATGGCGAAAATTCAGCTGGGTTTCGATCCTAGCTAGAGGCAACCGGACGTCTAGGCACTTTAATGAGCTATGATACAGCGAAACAGCCTGTCTGTGGATAACCATATATATATATATATATATATATATATGTAAAGTGAGAGAGATAGGTAGATAGATCTGTCTATCTATACAGGTGCGATGGGTAAGTTGTCGGCATTTTATATTTTTAATTTCGCGCATGCGCGTTGTTTCTTTTTCATTTTGTCGACTGCACAATATAGTAGGGTTAGTTGGGCACCGTCTGTGAAAAAAAGAGCAACATGACGCAATTCTCTCCGCCAGAAATTTGGAAACGGCATGTTGTACTGCTTGGCATTCGAGCCGGATGCACAAATACGAACATAGAGTGTTTATGTGTCAATCTGAGGACAGTCTAGAGGATTCAAAAAGAGTTGGATGAGTCTAATGGTGATTACGAAAGTATTTGGGGTGATCATTAGTAATGGCGATGTTATGCCTCCATTTATCTTTCCACAGAGCCTCACACTCAACGCGGAGGCCTACATCAAGTACCTTGAAGAGTTAGTGCTGCCCTGGGTCAAGAGGGTGACTGTTGGAAGATCCTGTGTCTGGCAACCCGACTCTGCATCATGTCACACAGGAAGAAGAACCTAGTCATGGCTGTCAAACAATTTCTGCGGCTATATCACCCCTTACATCTGGCAACCTAACTCCCCAGACTTCAACCCTTTTGATTATTATGTGTCGGGCGCAGTTTAGTGAGGGACCAACACAACTCCTTGTAACACCAAAAGTGAACTGAAGGTAAGGATTATGGCAGCATTCGCCAACTTAAATAAGGAGACCGTCCAGCAGAGTTGCAGGAGATTCTGAAGTCACCTGGAGTCCGTGGTTGAAGTCAATGGCGATTTTATTAAATAAATTTACTCAAGATATTTTTGTATAATTTTGGTAAATATATCTGTTAACATGAGATGTTAGGGTTATTTTCATTTTTGCGTAATTAAGACAACAGTTTATCCATCGCAACCTGTATATAGCAATATCTATCTATCTATCTATCTATCTATCTATCTATCTATCTATCTATCTATCTACCTGTCTGTTTATTTGTCTATTCAAGGCTTTTCTAATTTATCTTACTCGTTATCTCGAAAAGTTGATTTCAAACTCTATAGACCTCCACAGATTCGCGATACCTAAGGTTTAAAATGAATTTTTACAAATGAAAAATCTTTCTTGAGGCTTTTATTTTAGTTTTAATTTCAAGTTAATAGATTAAATTTAGTATTTTCAATAAGCAAAATATTTTTTTCTATTTCAAAAATAATTTCTTCCTAAAGTATCTGATTTCAGTGCCATTTTCAGTTTGTCGCAGTGTAATTTTCTTGAAAAATATAATTGAAGAATATAACGTGAGCGCCTTTTTACGTAATTTTTAAGTATTCAGTAATCCTTAAAATGTGGGTAAATGTTCTGCATAGTCTAATATTTGACTGAATTTTAAATACTCTGGATTAAAATTTACTTCAGTAATCGCTCTTATTTTCTGAAAATATCGTGTATTGACATCCATATCTACAAAAATCGGCACGTTTATACACATACAAAACAAATACAAAGTTCTTTTTAAAATATTGGTGTGTGATGAATTGTACTAAGTTCTTCAATTTATTATTAGTGAATATTGTGTTCACTTAATGAAACCTGAAAGGGTGAAATTAATACAAAAATTTAAACGATTTAAAATTTAACAAATTATTCTTCATCGAAAAAACTTTTTTTTCTTAAGACCATAGTTTCCTTAATATATTTTATTTATAAAAGCAGTTAAAAGCTTTTCTTATTAAATAATGGCTTAATTTTATTGTATTTTTTATTTTACTATTCAGAGCAGGTCTCCGATGAATGGTGTTTTGTTTTTACAAAATAAATTGATGATTTAAATTCCCCAGGAGACCTACTCTTGACTAATATAAATATTAAAAAGGAGATTTAATTTCTTGAAATGTCATAAAATTAAGTAAGTGGCTGTAACAGATAAAAAAAGTTTTACCAAGATTTTCTAAAACAAAAAAAAACTTCTAAAATAATTTAATTCATTTTGAATAAGTACTGAAAGTTACATTAAAATCCGGAAATTATTTAATTTTTGCAAGAATTTTCAAATCAATGCGTTTTTCACCGCAAAAAGACACTAAAATTTCATAAACTAAT